CGTCATTTGTAGCCATTAAGGATGTCAAAAAGTTCTGTCGTTTTTTTATCGATGACTTTTACTTGGATTTTATATAAATTCGATCAAAATATAATTTCAGATACATCAAAATATTAATACTAATTGGAGTCTAATTTAATGATGAAAGTTAATTATTTTGTTGACATTTGTTGAAACTTGTAATTTTACCTGAAAGCTCAAGAAAAAGTCATTTATCGAAGAAGTTTCAATCAGTGAGCTAATTAAGATGGGGAAGGGTTAACCTGTAAATTATTGAATCTTGTTTATTCTGAAATGGTTAGTATTTTCATTTAATATGCTAATGAAAATTGGTTGGAAAACAAAATGCTAATGTAAATTGTAAATAGTCTCATCTCAATTAATTATTGTGTTTTCATTTCGTTTCATTTCAAAGGATGAGAGCGGATCCCATTGAAAATTTGCCTCCTAACCGATTTGAATGGAAAGTATGATCACGATTTTTGCCACGAACGTCATGAACTTTGGCATTGGCTCTTTTCCCTTTCTCCTTTTCCACTACTGACAATTTGACTCATGGAAAATTGAAAATAACCATTCTTTTCTTTGTGAAAACTGGTTTTTCATTGTGAATGTTTGTTGTTTCAAATCAAAATAACTGTAAATACCGATTACTCCGTAACCATACGTGATACAATTATGTTTTAGTATGTAATTTTAAATTATCTTCTGAACATATCGATAATTTATTCCAGTCAGAGCCTGTATTCCAGTCTATGTAGATCCGACTTCCTTCTTTCATGTGTATCGGTGTTGAGGCACAATATTTATGGGATCTTTCTTTGCTCTTTTGTTTGAAATAATAATGTGGTATCTAATCTTTCAGCTGTTGGCAAAGAGAAGCAAGAGATAGCACGAGAAGGTTGAGGGTTCCGAGGGAGATAAGGGCTGGCTCTGGATCTCCCCTAAAGATGGCGCTGCTAGGGAAAAACAATATAAAGCATTAATAAGAGATTTAAATAGGAAAATTAAGGAATTGAAGTTGTTTTAATATAAATTAAATATGTTAATTGAAAAACAATATTATTTATTATGAATTGAAATATATTTATGATATAGCAGCAATACTAAAGCAACAATTCTCATTTTGTACACAATTATTCACTGAGATTTCAGCTAACGTAAATTTAATGCCGATTATTACACCAAAATGTACAAAGATTATAATATAAACAGAAGAAAAATTTGCTGGGTCGATTTTGCACAGGACTTGGATCTTGGATAATGCTGATATGATGTTGGATGTATGATATTGCGATTCATGGATGTAACTATTAAAACATAAGAAATAATTACTATAAGCGATTCAAAATAATGCAAATTATCTCGTAAGCGTTGCAATCATATACTCACTGGTTTATTCATCAAACGAATTGATTTTTGGGTTTTCTTTGTATTTGTGAGCGCAATCTTTGGCATATTTGCCCACAAACATGTTGATGAGATGACGACGACACTGTTTTTTGATGATATCATGATGACAAGATGGAATGAATTCACAATTTATGTCTCTTAAGTGGACGTTGAGCTTACACTTAAGGCCCTCTTGTGAAAATTTGGATGGAACAATGTCTTGTAATGATGAACAGCAATCAGTGATGAAATTGGTGAAAGGAACTGATGCAAGATAAAGTTGATCTGCTGTATATTGTTTGAGCACTGTGAATGTATGAATGTCTAGAATATGAGGTGATCGCAAAGATTGCAAGCACTGATCACAAAGATGATTATTCTTTTTCAGCTTGCTGATGAGGTACCCGGCAATGTAGGAAATGAGGCCTCGATTTGAAGATGATCGCTCTATTGAATGATGGTCTAAGGCAGCATTATCTTCTCCAACGTCGTCTGGTGAAAAGGTAGAAAAAAACTCTGCCAAATCGACGGTTGATGGAGTGAAAGATGAGAAAAAATTTTGGATTGAAGATGATGATGAAGGATGTGTTGCTGAATCTTGAGGAAAATCTGATGCATTCAAGAGTGGAACCGCATCATCCCGTTCACAGTTTGATGAATTTAATGATTGTGAAGCTAAAATTGTCAGTTTACGGAACACAAGACGATATTTTGATGTCGTTAAATGTTGATGTTGATATCTCGCCTGCCCAAAATGATTTTCAAGAATATCTTGAGTCAGTCGCCTGGTGTAAATGTGCTTTAGGCCACGATCAAATAAGTTCAATGAAAGACCTTGAAGTCCACGAATGGTTTGGGAAAGCATGGTCAAACATTTTACGTTCCTATTGATCTTTGGCTGGCCTGAATCATCATATCTGACGAAATACAAATGCTCATTTTCAATCAAATTCGCAAAATCTGACAAGTATCGCATCAGCGAATCTTCTTGTGTGAGAGCTGTTTTCCACGGTTTGCCACTGTTTTCTGATATTGTTCGAGTATTCAAAATGTCGAATATCTTATCGAGCCTCTTGATTACCTCAATTATCAAACTGTATTTATCTATTGGCAAATCTCCTCTTGCCACCGCAAAAGCGAAAGCAGCTGCAACAGAGCTACTGAAAACTTGTACAGCTAGCTTGACTTTCATTTTATTGCGGTGCTTTGGAGCTAGATGATCTGCAGTAATTCTAGGACAGACATTCAGAATATTTCCTGAGACTATCAAAGGATTAAGGGGATCCGTGATATCATTCCATTTCATGATTCCATCATAACTTCCTTCTTTGAAATAAAGAGGGTACATCATGAGATTGTTTCTGATCAGCTTAAAGATATGTGGAACATCATGAAGGAAAAATATCGATTTGCCATTGATTTTAAATTCAGATGTATCATCATCGACACCAAGAGGCGCTCTGAGCAATCTATTTTTTGAATCTCCATCACAAACAGTAGCTAAACAGTGGAAACCAGCTCTCAACACTGCCTCAATGTTTTCACGGACTAACAAAACTAGATCAGAAGAGTTGAACCCTTGCTGTGGAAGAAAATAATAAGAGATCAAAGTTTTCCAGTTTAACTCATGCAATCCTCTTAAGCCAAAGACCAATACATTTTTCATGATGATTCAACGATTTCAGCAGGTGAAGGTGAACGTGAAAAAATCCATGGTGATGATGGGTTGTTTTCTGATGCTTCTTGTGAAATTGATTGTGTAGATGTTGTAGGTGCTGATGAACTGATTGCTGTCGGAAGTGCATTTGGATACAATAGTCTTGCTCCTGAACAAACTGTGTGATATGATGAAGGTTGAAAATGCAATGAGCAAACGAATTTGTTATGAATACTGTCCTTGGTGAAATCTGATGGAAGTTCAGCTCTTAATAATTCAATCCAAGCTTCAACTTGTGCACTTTTTGATGGAAATTTGAAGAGTGAAACAGATGAGGATGAAAATGATCTACAGTTTTTTATGACGCATTTTTTAACCACTAAAACACGTGCAAAATCATGCAAAAAACAAACATAAAGAAACACAAACCAGGACACATGCAATATTCATGCAAAAGACATGCAACAGAGTTTCATGAAAAAAAAGACGAGATTTAGAAACATGCAATATCATAACAAAACAAATGACAGAAAAAATGGTAAGCGTACATAATATACATGTAAAAGCATTGAACAATGAAAACGGAAGATTTAAAGAAGTTTATACATACTTTTGAAGTTTGATGAAAAATAATTCAAGAAATGGAATGGAAAATGTGATGACTGGCGTTTTTGATGTGATTCTGCAACAGAAGAATAATCAGTTATTAGAAAATAGTAAAAGCAATGATCATATTCATGATAGATGGCAAACACTGCAACCAAAATCATCAATTTCAACAACATTGCAAACAACTTCAACCAAAGCACTCACTGGCAGACCAGGACGCGTGGTGCGTTCGCCCTAGTTCAAACCAGACTCTATTTCTCTTCTTACATAAAAGCTTGAGCTAACGTCAATTAACTAACTATTCTTCACAACCTCCTAAAATTGACGTTAGGTTCCCCTACACCATACACCTTTCTCTACTCGAGGCGGGGACCTAGTCAACCCGAAATTTGGCAGGCCGTAACCTGAAATGCACATTCATACTCATACCCCAGGGAACGCTCTTGGCGGGGCTTGTCCCTGGTTCAACAACCGCCATAATACCTGTAAAAGAAATGAACATTAGTAGCAAATGCATGTTTTGAATTATGGACATAGTTTTACATTTACTGATGGTGTTTTCTTATTGATTGCAAATTGAAATCGCTTATTATTCAGTATATTGCAGTTAGTATTGAATGAATCAAAGTTAATCATGAATAATTATCAACTTGATTGTTACAAAATGAATTGTATTAGATGTTCAGCACCAATTGGAATGATATAATCATGAAATGTCAAAAAAGTCAGATAAAATGAAAACTATAAGTATAATTAACAATGATTTATAACAATTAAAATTAATTCTAATTAAGTTAAATAAGTTAAAGTATAAATAAATAATTGCCTGGTAAATAGCGAGATCGATGCCGAGATCTCCTTAGGGAATTAATAAATTCAATTAAAATCTAATTCTAATTAATCTAACTAATTATAACAATATAATTTCAATGAAAAACCTGAAAAAGAAAGTTAATAAATGGCCAAAAACGATCTTACCTTTAATTCCAATTGGGATCTAAAAGAGAAAAAGAAAGAGAAAAGAAAGAGAAAAATAGCATTAGTAATAGCAATGTTGTTTACAATTAATGAACAATTGCAAAGCTATTTTTCTCTTTCTTTTTCTCTTTCTTTTTCTCTTTCTTTTTCTCTTTCTTTTTCTCTTTCTTTTTCTCTTTCTTTTTCTCTCTTTTTTTCTCTTTCTTTTTCCCTTTCTTTTCTTCTCTCTCTCTTTTTCTCTTTCTTTCTTTCACTCTCTTTTTCTCTTTCTTTTTCTCCCTATTGAGAGCCATCTTTAGGGGAGATCCAGAGTCTCCCTTATCAGTTCCGGAACCCCTTACCTCATCGTGCAGTCTCTTGTTACTCTTTGGCTGTTGGGTAATGTATCAACAGAAACAATTGATAAATATGATGACAGGAAGATAAATTGATACGCAATTGATTAGATAGGGACATTAAAAAAGTAACAAACTGAGGAAAAACAAAAGTAAGGTAACCCAAAACCTAATAAAATGTGACAACTTGTGAAGCTTATTCAATGTTATCTTTTTTCCATAACAACCTAATTCTTCATTATTTTTAATACCTAATTATATTTTTAGTATTTCTTTTTCATTTCTTAAGCAATGCAATTATTTAGTATCAACAATAGTCCATAATTAAAACATGTGCATAATTTAATTTCCTTATTTCCTGGTTGCAGGCTGATTTACGCAGCCGATAAACATAATTATCAAAAATGGTGAAGGAAATTTCACACTTGAACGTTTATTTTCCACTCATAAGTGAATCTCTGTGAATTGAGTGATTCTCTGATCGAATATGGATATTGATGGGTGTTTATCGAATCTGGAACAAAATACAGATGTTACCTTTTATACTGGAATCGACGAGCCGTCATTGTTATCACCTTTAATGTCATTACAGTCATTACCCCACCTTGATCCAAATTATGTTGAAAATTATTTAAACGACGAAGGTGGTAAAGCATTGGATGTGGGCCAGATCAAGGAGTTTTCTCAAGCTATTGATGCTTATTTTGCTTCAACCCATAATACAGATGTAACTGGTCCACTGTCAATCGAAGCTTCACCTTCAACCTCTCAAAGTTCACCTAGTAGTTCGTGTTTTAACAAATGTTCTAATTCATACTGTAAATCACCTTGCATCAATCCACGTTTCCACCTGTCGCGCAACTCATCTCGTAATTCATCATCAACACAATTTAAACATTTGTCAAATTTTAATCCAGACTATCGTCATGTAAGAATAACCTGTCCCAAATTCAAGAGTAAACTCACACTGGCTGATGACATTACAAAAGTGAAAGAACCATGGATATCTCATGTTGCTAAGCAAATTTTATCTGTATATTATTCACCATTGAGTTTAAAATCCGAGTTCATCTCAAACCAGACAATGTTGGATGCATTTGAGTCTGTAGCAGTTCAAGAAGTAGCTCAAGCTTTCAAGACAACAGCCTTCGTCAATCCTCATAATGATATTGGTTTCATAGAAAGTAATTTTTTCTCAGACCCAACTCCACCTGAGCTTGTTTCTACTTGTGAAAAGATACGCGCTTACAGGAAACTACCCACCGATGACAAAGTGACACTTATTAAAAGTGCGTTTCTTGACTTCAATGCATTAAAAGGAGTAATCGTCTTTGATCCAGAAGTCGATGGTTGGTTTGTAAGTTGAAGTTTATTTTATCGTATAATAGACTAAATCAATGATATCGAATGGTGTTATATCCACTCATCCACTCATTGATACTGTCTTTTGTTTGTTATATTTGTATTTCCCTTTTCCAAATCAATCTAATGACATTGTTTTGTATAAAATACCTTATCATCTATTATAATTGGTTTCATCACAAAAGTATGGAGGGAAAGTTTGGTCAAGAAAATACTTTTACGAAATAAATTCAGCGGTTATCAGAAAAATGGATCATATCATTGAAACCTTTCCTAATTTGCTTCGAAGTGATCTCAACGCTGTCGCTTTACTTTATACAATTGTCCTTTTCAATCCTGATTTGGTTAAATTAAAGTTTCGAAACACAGTAAGGTAAGTTAATGCAAGGAACCATAATTAAGTGAATAAAGTCGAGTGGGTAAAATTGTTGAGTTAATAATTTAAGTGTTGACATTTGTTAAAATATGAGATACCAGATAATCATAAGCAATTTGTTCGATGTTCCCTAATTAAGAGGAAGTTAAATGTTCAGTTTAAATTAAGGAAGATTGGAAATTTTGGAAACTGCTCTGTTCGGCGAATAGAGTTAATAAGCTATTTCAAGGTGCTGTCATTGTCTAGTACTTTAGAATAAAAAAATATAAACTGATCTCATGATTAATTTTTGATTTCTTGGTTAAACCCAGAAACTTTATGTACTCGCAGCAACTGACAATTTGGTTCCATTTAGTTGAATAATTGTGTTACAAAAGAACTGAAATTTTACTTCTTATTTACAGGCTCGAGCGATACACTTACATTTATCTGCTTAAACGGTATCTGACCGCTTACTTTGGTTCCGAATGTGAAGCGTCAGACAATCTTTATCATTTAATGGTTAAAATTGATGAAATCGTAGAGCTTAGAAGAGGAACTGTGATAAATTTCGATAGCTATCAACCTGGTTGTTCAACAATAATGACAAATCATGTGGCTCACTTAGTTCAATTCAAAGATTAAGGTATAAGATACTGAATTTATTGAGATGCAAAGTTTAGTAAAAGCTCATCCCAACTGCATGACTCTGTTCGGAGTATTTTACATTGAAAAACATTAATCTCAACTTTTTCTTTCATTTTTTAATTTTTTATGCTGCAAGTATTAATTTTACTTATTTTCACCCTCCAGTGGTGATTTGCCTTTACTAAATCTTGCCTTTCAATGAATACAGTATCTTATATCTTGTACCTCAATCTTTGATTCAATGTATGGAAATCAAGAGCTCATCTTCCAAATCAAATACTCAAACCAAATTTTGAATAAACATTACTCGATTCAATTTGAAAATGCAACTTAAATTGAGTTACCAGTTGAAACATTGTAATTTGATGCTGTTGCTGATGGTGATAACGGTTAAATTTCAAAAGAAACAACTTAATAGTAACAGTAATTGCAATAGTAACTGTGTCTCAATCGAATCAAATAATCATTTTCTAAACGTTTTTTGACTCCAATTACCGGTATATCCATCAAAGAATTAAAATTTAATCCATTTTGTTTTCTGTTGTTACTTTCAATGTTCATCCTCACATGTTTAGTAACGTGCTTAATTGATTAAGATGCTAGACTGAATGATTCAAAAAAGGTAAATTATTTGCACAATTGAGGTAAATCAATGAAAGTTTTGGATTTCAATGGCATAATTTGAATGGACAACCTGATCAGCATAAGAATTGCTCGCAAATGAAAGGAAATCAAACCTTTCGATTCACTCGCTATATTTCATGACTCTATACGGTGATTTTATAACATTGAGACTCTTTTAAAATAAAACGAGATTTCATTGATGGAAATACGACCTAACGAAATTTAATCTTTTGAACAAACTTTAGTTTGCATGAGTTTATAATCAATTTGTTTTCTTTTGATGACCATGAAGACATGTGCTTGGTTAACAATTTGAGAACCTCATCATTCAAAAAAACCAGAAAAATTGAGTTACCGGTTAATAAACATTGTAATGTGATAATGTTTCTCATGATGATAACGATAAAATTTTTAAAGCAACAATAATTTAATGGTTACAGAGTCATGTCTCAATCAAATACATCATCATTTAAAAGTTTTTCGAATCCAATTACCGGTATAATACACCAAAGAGTTAATATTTAACCCATTTTAACACTTTCTGTTAATTTCAGTTTTCATAATTACCCAACAAACCTCACTGGTTTAATGCATAAACGTTAAAGTATTGTAGTCTTAAATTATTACCTGGTAGTAGAATCTCAATCAATTATTGATCTGTGTTAAAGAATGAATGAATCCGAATTTTTACATGGACTCGTCGAAGACGTGAAAAAGCAAAACTTTTTGAAGTCAATCCCCACTGTTATTAATATTTCAATCGCGTATATTATATTAGATCTGAGATGTGCACGGTAAAGTTTTGGAAGTGAAGGCCTTTGCCTCAGGATTTATTGTCAAGATGTGCTTTAGTATTTTCGGTAAAGTTTTAGACGATTTTCCAGCATCGAATCGCAACAGTTAGACTGGATTTACAGTCACACTTTAACATTTGTTTGTGTTGGTCGGATGTCAGGCTGCAGGGATATTTCATTCCTTACATTGAAGATCGCCTTCCGACTGACTCTTATATCTACTAAACTGCGATGTCGAGAGTAAAATGAAGCTGTCGAGACATGTACCTAACAGTAACAAGTATTTCTAGCTATTGCAAAAGATTCTCGGTTTTGATCTAAAGATTTGATTTCGAAAAAACGAAAAATTTGCCTTTCGCTAAAACTCAAAAACGGCATGGTCTAGAGAGCTTTTTTGTATACACATGATAATTCATAAGATAGTAAGCTGTTTCAACTTAAAGCTTATAATTACAATCATTCAACGAGATATAGCCTGAAAATTTACATACCAAATTTGTCTTTTGAACGGCATTGTGACCGAACGGCTCATTAGGTTTGGTCCATTTTAATTTTGCACATAGTTTTTCAAGATGCTCTCTCAGAAAATCGCCAGCAAATTAAGTTTGACAGCTACATATGCATGAATTTTGGCTACCCTTGATTCTAGTTTCAGTATTTATTTTAAATTATTCTTTCTTCTGGACACATCGATGATTGATTCTAGTTAGGGCAATTTTCTGTGGTGATCTAACTTCCTCCTTTCATGTGTATCGGTGTTGAGCCAAAGTCTTTATGGACCCAGCTTTTACCACTTGGTTAAAATCAGAGAGTAAAGTAATCTTTCTTTACTTTTTCAATTGAAATAATAATATATCTAATCATCCAGCTGACGAATAATGCACCAACAGAAACAATTGATGAATATGATGACAGGAAAATACTTAGATAACCGATTGATGAAATAGGGACCTTACAATAGCAACAGTGAAGTCAATCAAACTGAAGCAAACAAAAGTAAGGTAACCCAAAACCTAATAAAATGAGACATCTAACTCTGTATGAAGCTTATCCACTGTTATCTTTTTTCCATAACAACCTACTTCTTCATTATTTTTGATACCTAATCATTTTTAGTATTTTTTCTCATTTTTAAGCAATAGGTAGCATCAACAATGAGTTAGTCCACAATTGAAACATGTGCATAATTTGACGTCCTTATTGGTTGCAAGTTGATTTACGAGGCCGATAAACATAATCATTGGAAATGATGAAAAACATTTCAATCTTCAACGTTTATTTTCAACTCATAAGTGAATCTCTGTGAATTGAGTGATTCTCTGATCGAATATGGATATTGATGGGTGTTTATCGAATCTGGAACAAAATACAGATGTTACCTTTTATACTGGAATCGACGAGCCGTCATTGTTATCACCTTTAATGTCATTACAGTCATTACCCCACCTTGATCCAAATTATGTTGAAAATTATTTAAACGACGAAGGTGGTAAAGCATTGGATGTGGGCCAGATCAAGGAGTTTTCTCAAGCTATTGATGCTTATTTTGCTTCAACCCATAATACAGATGTAACTGGTCCACTGTCAATCGAAGCTTCACCTTCAACCTCTCAAAGTTCACCTAGTAGTTCGTGTTTTAACAAATGTTGTAACACATGTAATCCAAGCTGTAACTCACCTTGTAATATACATTTTAACTCGCCACGAAACTCATCTCGTTATTCATCATCAACGCAGTTGAAACATTTGTCAAATTTTAATCCTGACTATCGTCATGTAAGAATAGCCTGTCCCAAATTCAAGAGTAAACTCACACTGGCTGATGACATTACAAAAGTGAAAGAACCATGGATACCTCATGTTGCTAAGCAAATTTTATCTGTATATTATCACCATGAGTTTAAAATCGGAAATTCATCTCAAACCAGACAATGTGGATGCATTTGAGTCTGTAGCAGTTCAAGAAGTAGCTCAAGCTTTCAAGACGACAGCCTTCGTCAATCCTCATAATGATATTGGTTTCATAGAAAGTAATTTTTTCTCAGACCCAACTCCACCTGAGCTTGTTTCTACTTGTGAAAAGATACGCGCTTACAGGAAACTACCCACCGATGACAAAGTGACACTTATTAAAAGTGCGTTTCTTGACTTCAATGCATTAAAAGGAGTAATCGTCTTTGATCCAGAAGTCGATGGTTGGTTTGTAAGTTGAAGTTTATTTTATCGTATAATAGACTAAATCAATGATATGATTCGCTAATAAGATTGCATGTGAATCAAATCCCATTCATTTGACTCATTGATATTGTCTTTTGTCTGCTATTTCACTTTTACAAACCAATCTAATGACATTGTTTTATTTAAAATGCCTGATCATCTCATTGGGTTACCCGCAAAAGTATGGAGGGAAAGTTTGGTCAAGAAAATGGTTTTACGAAATAAATCCAGCGCAAACCAGAAGATTGGATCATATCATTGAAACCTTTCCTAATTTGCTTCGAAATGATCTAAAGGCTATCGCCTTACTTTATACAATTGTCCTTTTCAATCCTGATTTGGTTAAATTAAAGTTTCGAAACACAGTAAGGTAAGTTAATGCAAGGAACCATAATTAAGTGAATAAAGTCGAGTACCTAAACTGTTAAGTGCACAGTTTGGAATTATTAATAAAGTTGAAAAAGTTGGATATAAGCTGCTTTTAGAATAGAACGAATAAGCTATTTCAAGGCACTGTCATTATCTTGTTCTTTGTAACTCTGAAATGTCAGAACAATTTTTATTTACTCGAATCAACTGACAATTTGGTTCCTTTTAGTTGAATAATTGTGTTACCAAAAACTGAAATTTTACTTCTTATTTACAGGCTCGAGCGATACACTTACACTTATCTGCTTAAACGGTACCTGACCGCTTACTTTGGTTCCGAATGTGAAGTTTCAGACACTCTTTATCGTTTGATGGTTAAAATTGATGAAATTGTAAAACTTAGAAGAGGAACTGTGAAAATTTTCGATAGCTATCAACCTGGTTGTTCAACAATAATGACAAATCATGTGGCTCACTTAGTTCAATTCAAAAGCCTTTAATATTCTAGAAATACAAGGTTTCTGCTGAAGTTAAGCTGTGAATTGAAACAAACCTGAAGGGCACATTAATATCAACAGTGCAAATTGCATTCATCTCAGTCCGCATCGCTTAAGCGCTAAAAAAGTTTTTTTCACTCATGAACCTTCAAAAATTTCTGCGGTAGGCAATTTAATGATTCTTAATATTACACTCTCATTAACAACATTTGAATTCAATCACAACTTATTTTTTCTTTTTTCTTTATATAGTGGAGATACAAAAATATTAATAGAAAGGGATTTTCGTTTAACTGTGAGATTTATAAACATGTCGATAGTAACTGGACTGGCATGAACATCAAAGATGCTACATGTTAGCCTGTAAAAAGGGTTAGCCCTTCTTCATCTACACAATAATGGGCAGGTTCATTCAAATTTGTAACAAAAATAAAACTCAACTTCAAAACCAAATACTTGGACCAAATCATGAATAAACTTCACGACATCCAATTCAATTAGAAATATGAAAACCAGAAAAATTAAGTGAGTTTAAAATGAGTTAGCGGTTGAAATATTATGTAATGATGTTGCTGGGGTGATAACGATTAAATTTTCAAAGAAACACTGAATAAAAACAGAATCAGTAATAGGAAAGATTCTATTGAGCTATGAATAATGAGTTAGCTGAATATTCATTGCAAACAGGCAGAAGCTTTTTTTATATTGTTAGCGAATGATAGCGCGTTATCAGCAATCAACCATATCCAACGAAAACTCAACCTAAATCTAAACACCTTCTAAAGGAAGTTGCAGCAAGTATCCGATTCTAATAAGTCGATAATCCTTAATAATATTAGAATAAGGGATACTTTAAAGTGCCTAGAATTCCATTCAGACATATAATCTATTTTGAAGTGTAATAAGTAAGTTCAACAGTCTGAATTGTTCTAAGACAACCATATATCACCGAGCTTGATAAAATGACAACCAAAGCTGAAAAATAGCTTTTACCTTTCAATTTTGATGCTTATCAAGAATTTTTGTACATGCCAATTCAACGCAAAATTTGATCATTGCTGATGTATTAGTCAAAAAGTATGTGGGCTTTCGAGTGATTTGAATATAGCAATATTGGAAAGTATCGCTAGATCAAGTAATATATTGGATAACCGTTCGTCAACCGCTTTCTCAACAAAAATGTTTTGATTTGGCTGATATTATGCCATCGATTGTAAGAAGAGTTATGAAGCAATGTTTTACTTTCCTTTGGCTGGTTATCACGATTAGCTGAGTGGATCGTTCGATAATTAAAACAAAACTTGAAAGACTCAGGAGAAGAACAAAAAGTTAAAGTAAATCTTAAATCGTGATGATTGCAATCGGATGAGATGCCATTGGATGTCTTAATTTTTTCGGAGCGTTTGCAGAGAGCACAAGTTTTAATAAAATCTATCTAGTTTTATCTAATTCTTTTATCAGTAAGCACTCTGACTGCCAGATCAAGTGCTCGACGCAAGAATAGGTTGCCCGTTGCAGGAACGCTTTCCTGCTTGTCTCGATGAACTTTTGATAAACAAGTAACCGTAAAGTATTGAAATAATATGAATGTAGAAGTTGTCAGTTTTCTTGAAGTTGATCATTAAGTTGCAAAATATTCTTATGAAACCCTTAATTCCTTGTAAAGTTTCAAAAAAGACGATTCTATCGCCGAATAAATGATCATAAATATAGTTAAAAGATTTATCAGGCCTAATTGTATTAATATGACTTGACGAAAATGAATATTCCGCCATCTTACGAGCACCGTACAGATTTTGAAGTGAAGTTACAGATTGAGTTGACTTGTTGAGCTCATCCAAATAAACCAAGGGTACATCGCGAGATCGAATCGAATAGTTGGTCGTACCATCTGACCAAATTGATTCCAATACGATACAAAGCAGTTAGAATTATAATGCTTATAAAAATTCAGGGTCATCTAAGGAAATCCTTGCAGCAGTAAGCTCATTAGAATCCTTAATTGAATCATTTTCATTAGGAAATATTTTGTTTAGTTTATAAAAAATTTGAATACCTGATTCGAATAACTGGTTACAATTTATTCTATCAACAACACATCTTTATTTCTTGGCCGTCTGGTCAAAATGCAACCAGACAAGGATCTAAAAACCTAAATAAAGATAAATAATCATCCATAACTCGTAACTATTAACAGAATATTAACGTAAAAATTAACAGAAAGTTTAATTTTGAAAAATTATTTAATATTCTTATTTGAGAAAAATAAATCAACAGATGATGAGTTTAATTGTGGATTCCATCTCGTATCGATATCACAATATGACGAATCAACAGAAGTTTCCTTGACAGATTTGCATCAATTCTTGTCCAGTCAATGATTTAACAAGATCCTTAACTTCTTGTGAAGCTGAAGCTCCTTTAGTCTTTGAAACAAACCAGGCTTTGACTAATTGATCAATGAAAAAATGAAAGATAGTAAACCATGATTGAGTTGATTGAATTATTATATCAAATAATTTACTTACCATCAACAGTTGAATCGTCAATTTTAACACAACTTGCTAAGACGGCTTCTTCATATTTAGGATTGTCATAATAAGGCATCCAAAATTTACCTCGTTGACCATCTGAAAAGAATTGTGAATATTATAACTCTTTGCATAAATTTATCTAAAATTCATCGTTTACCTGAAGTTTCGAAGGTGAATGAGTAGGGTGTATAGCCCTCTGATACAAGCTCATAATATGATCTTCCATTGAATTCACCAACAGTCATTTCGATATACTTGTCCCAAAGTGACTGGACAACACTGTTATATAATAATTGTTTGTTCATTTAATAAGATTTGTGAATAATTATTCATGCGATTGAAACTTACTTGTCTCTGGTTGAACCTTTCTCGATAACGACAGCTTTTCCAGGATAAAGGTGGTTAATCTCAAGAGTATTGTAGACAGTTCTTGGGACAGTTTGTTCACTTCGACCAATAACTTTCCAGTCTCCTACAAACTAATTGGATAAAGAAGCATTAATAATGATAACTATGATGATTGGATTGAGTTAAACTTACTTCATTGAAGTGCCGATGAGGACCTTTGGGTTGAGCTATTTTTGGACATGAACCCTTGATTTTAACTGCAAATGAGCTTGAGATTGCAAGAGCAAGCAAAGCAACAAACAAAGTTGACTTCATCTTAACGAAACTGTTGATAACAAAGTAAATGTAATGACCAATCGAAATGATAACTGTAATGACTTGAAATCCTACGAACAATTTGCTTTTATACACGAAAATCCAAGCCCAATGTTAATGCATTTGTCGAATCACTGTCAATGCGAGTGTAAAAAAATGAAACTTAAACAAGTACATATTTCATGAACTTAACATCTGAAACAAAAGAGTCATTAATTGATAATGACAATCGCATGAAACAATAAAGCACTGAAGTTTGTCTAAAGTTGTGGTTTTAAGTCAGATTATGTTGATCCATTTAATGTTTGGTTCTAATAAGTTGTAAGAAATAAGCTGTTGTAAGATATAACTTTTGTTAAATTTGATGTTTGGTCACATAACAATTGACTGTCATAACTATTGTACCTTTAAAAAATTTCAAGTTTAATTTCCGATTTGAGTCGAGATCTAGCCAATCCATACATATATAAAGTGAAAACATCAATCTTTTGCACTAAAATTGTGGCCAACTAAGAGGGTTCTGACTAAGGAAAGTTTTGACGTAGTGCGATTGTATGCACGAAAAATAGTCACGGCCTTATCGGAATTCGTGATAATGAGAAATTGATGTATAGAGGCAAGAAGAAAATGCAGAATCTGTATTTTAAATTATTGAGTTGGTATATAATATGGTAAACTCTTATGATGGTATATTGTTGGGTTAGGAGCATAGTAGAGTTTGGGGAAAAATTCGGTTCTTCAATAGTGCACAACGATTTTCTCAAAGACTGCCCATCAGATGAATATTTTGAACGCATAAATGAACTCGATTTTCTCTATTGGATTCTAAACTTCAAAAACGAACTTCGAACCAGAAAAGTTAAATATTTGGTTGATAAGAAGAAAATTTTTATCAATACTTATTCCTTCGGTATGAATTAATTCCCTCATTTAAGCAATTTATATTTTCAGAACATCAAGATTTGCGGAATGATGAAATACCTCCAAGTTATACGTTTGATTATGTTTGCTTTCGAACAGAGGAAACAATTGATGCAACTTGTTTGAGCACATTATTTACAAATCTAATGGTTTGTTGGATAATTCAGCTTTATTGTTTGCACAATTTTCATTTTGTTATGTTATTTGCTGTCTTGTCTTCTTAGATTGCCGATTTTTCTTGTGGATTCGGTAAAAAAGTTAAATATGAAGATATCGTTACATTTGTCAAAAAGATAAAACATTTGAAAGGATTGTCTCTTTACTACAATTACGAGATTTCAGTTTTGCTAGATTGTGATCAACTCGAAATGATATCCACGAATTGCATTGACCCATGCATGGAAAAGAATGGTGTGAACATTAAACAATTGCACCTTTGGAGTTTGCAATTATATTATTGCCTCAATAAGTTAATTTCTCATTATCATGAATTCCGATAAAGCTGTGACTATTCTTCGTTCATGTAGTCGAACTACATCAAAACTTTCCTTAGAACCCGCTCAGTTTGACCACAATTCTAGCGCAAAAGTGACATTTTATGTATTTATAATACAATGAATTGGCTGAATTGGATAGATCTTAACTCAAAATACTCATATAGTGAATTAAACTTGAGATTTTTTCAAAGGCACAATATTATGTGACCGAACATTAAATGGTTTAACATGACGCGCTTCTCTATGCAAATTTGACTTAAAATGCAAATTTAGACAAACTTCAGTGCTTTGTTGTTTCGTGGAATTGTCATTGCCAGTAGTATACAGAAAGCAGGGTTCACCTCACCCTTAACTCACTTCCGTTTGTCGTTTTAGCGGAAGTGACGTCATAGTGAGGTGAACCCTCCTTTCTGTTTTGAAATTCAACGCCAACGATTCCGGCGTAGACCCTGTTACCTGAGTTAGAGGATTTAAAGGGGCGTGAGTTGAACTAGATAGCTCAGGAAGGTGTGAGGAGCGTTTGAGCCTTCGATGATGTCAACATACGATGAGTTAGATACAGGAAGTTATGAAGTTAATAGGAGAAAGATGAAAAATAAAGAGATTTAATGATATCATTATTAGGCTCAAAGATTGAGCATGAGAATCAATTGAAGGGGGAAATGTTTTAGAGATTGAAATAAGGCAAGGGGGAAGAAATAACACTTAAATCTATTGATTTTACTTAGCTTATGTTAATAGTTAATTAACTTATGAAGTCATGTAATTTGACACCGATGTTGTCTAACTCACTCTTTAGATGATTTACATTGAGATAAGCAAGAATCATTAACCCTGAACAAGTTTTAAGATGATGTAATTTGACACCGATGTTGTCTAACTCACTCTTTAGATGATTTACATTGAGATAAGCAAGAATCATTAACCCTGAACAAGTTTTAAGATGATGTAATTTGACACCGATGTTTATTAACTTCTTATTTTGATGATTTACATTGAGATAAGCAAGAATCATTAACCCTAAGCATACAGCAGTAGTATACAGAAAGCTTGAGTTAAAAGCTAATTGACTTATGAAGTCACGTGATTTGACATTGATGTTTACTAACTCACTCTGTTGCTGATTTACATAGAGATACACAAGAATCATTAACCCTGAGCAAGTTTTTAGATTTTGTAATTTGACACCGATGTTTACTAATTCACTCTTTCGGTGATTCACATTGAGATAAGTGTAGATTATTAACCCTAAGCAAGTTTTCTAGCATCGTAATTTGATATCTTTGTTAACTAACTTCTTATTATGCTGATTTTTACTGAGATAAGATATATATTTAATCGTGAGAATGTATTAATTTTCACAAATGTTAACTTATACACTGTGCTTATGCTATAAACGCAAAAATAAGTGATTAGCAACTGATAAAATGTTTGAAACTAACTATAAGAAATCAATGAGACAGAAATCATTATTAGTTAATTACATATTGATTGTTTATTGGTAAAGTTCAAGTTAAGAAATATTAAATTACAGTTAAATTTGTCGTATTGTTACTCAAATTATTCTTAAACATGAATAAATTGTAATACAACATAAGCAAAAGACCAATGAAAAGAAGGATACATGAAATAAGTGAACAATGAGATGCAAAAATGACCATCATTTTGTGTTATTAGACAGTTACAATGACTAAGTATACGTCACAGAAGCTTTCATCTTATATAGTAAAAGTTAAAAATTTCTGAGCATGCGCATGAATTTACATAAAAGCAATCTACAAGAAAAAGTGAAGTCATTCAGTTGATTGTCCAGCTAATTGTATCAAGATGCCTTACGATTGTGAAAATTGTGCTTTTACATCTTACTCAATCGTTGACTATGTCAATCATGTATGTGCAACATCAAGTCATCATGAAGATCATAGTGCTTCTAGTCAAAGTGCTCAGATATTATGTTACAATTGTGATTTCTCAACACTAGATGCAGAAGAGTATCTTGCTCACTCTTGTGAAACTACTCCTTTGCCTTCTTGTTCAAATGACTGTTTAATTTGTGTTCCCGAGCTACCAATTATGACATCACAAGAACAAAACAATACACCATCAACTTCAGTTTCATCATCTCGAAACATCACCTCACCTACAGGGTGTAGCGAAAGTTCGTGTAGGTAGGAGGGCTTAAGAGATGAAATCAGTTTCTCGATTGAGAAATAAAAGAAAATTAAAATTGGTTTCTACGCAGGGGGAAATATTTTTTTGCCTCCTACACGAACTTTCGCTACACCCTGTAGCTCCTCATCAAAAGGTGTAAGTCTACTTCAAAAAGTGAAGAAAACAAAATTTTGTTGTGATAAGTGTAAGCATGTGTTCTCAAGACGGAAAATTTTCCAGGAGCATATCAAAGTTTGTGGTGTTCCCTGTTCACCTATAGAAAGAAACTTTAGTAAAATTGATGGATTGAATTGTGTGCGAAGTGCAATGCATAATAAACTATCAGAATACACAATAGAAAAACCAACAGCTATTGATCTTGATAAATTGCAGAAAGACATTCAAAATGATATTTATGACTTATTGAAATCAACACTTGATACTCATCCTACACTTAAATTCAATTTAACCATTGAAATCAGTTTTGAAAAAGTGACAAGTGAGGGAGTTGTTAATCTGGAGAAAAGACCTTTCGTTTCCGTTATGAAGCAAATCTTGAGAGGAGATGATTTGAATTACAAAATTGCTTCATCATTCGATGAATTGAAAGAAACTGTAGCTCAATACACTGAAAGAGGGAGTGGATGGTCTATTGTTTCAATTGATAGAGTAACTATTCATCTGGGTCGATTCAAAGCTCATGCAGGAGGTTGTTTCAATAAAAAGTTACCAGCACTGATTATCAATAAAAAGTGTCTTTTGAGGATGGAGGTTACGAGTGACTGCTTCATGTATTCTGTTCTAGCATCCTTACACCCAAAGAGTAGCAGTAGCAATCCTTCTCGTCGTAAACAATACGATCAGTACATTAACCTCTATGACTTCTCTGATGTAAGAGGCATTGTGACACTTGATCTTATCTCTAAATTTGAAAAGAAAAATAATTTGTGTATCAATGTCTATACATATGATATTGATGAATCTTATGTGATCCCTTTGAAAATCAACAAACAGCTACATCAAGAAACGATTAAGCTATTCCTGTACGATGAACACTTTTATCCAATCAGAAGCTTTAATCGCCTCGCAAGTGCGGATCTTACAAAATCACGTCATTTTTGTGAGTTTTGTATGAATCCATTTACTAGCTGTGAGAAATTGGATAAACACAAAATTGAGTGTGTGCGCATGTCTCCTGGTAACATCATCATGCCTGAAAGAGGTTCCAGCAAACAAAAAATAAAGTT